CGGAAGTAGGTATGAATCAAGACTGTCATGATTGGTTGTAGAGGTCTGGGACAAGGCTACAACAATCATGAGTGCTCATAAGTTCTGAGCATTGGACACAACCCACGCTCACTGGAATCACTTCATGGAATTCTATCTCGAGTGATCGTGAGATGGTAATATCATATAAGTCTTTAAACCTAGAGATATGATTTGTTACTTACGAGTTGGTTATGCATTGATTGTACGAAAAACGCATTGGTAACTCGATGTTATAAAATCGTGCTCTTATGTGTAATTCAATGAGTAGTAGAACAAACATATGAGTCGAAGTTTATCTGTTCCTTCTTGGATTAGAAGCTGATATCTGGGCCCCTCGATGATTTTGTTTTGACCTATGTACCGGGCCCGGTCAGAACTAGATTGATGTGTTCAATAAAGTTCTTTGTCAAACAAATCGGAAATCGGGAAACAAATGTTGGACAATAAGTAAGACATTGTTCCATGTATTTGTCCGACTGATATCTAGAACAGAGGATTATATGATCACTTATCTTAAATGGCGTACCATCATCTTCTCAAGTTTCGAGAAACCTTGTAAAGAGCTACGATTGCCGATCGGTTCCTGAAGTCATACTTGCAGTAATAGTTACTAGACTTATCCAAGTGGGAGACTGTTGGATAAGGTGTCTAAGTCCATAACTATTTCTGGTATGTACTTGACCCGACCCGGCATGGTCCATTTGGGTTGCATGGCACCATGCAATTGGATAAACTAAATGAGAGAAATAACGTTTGGAGATTATTAATATATTATAAGTTCTAATATATTAATAATATTATTTGATTAGTTTGATCAAGAATTAATTTAGAATTAATTAAGTGATCAAAAGATAACTAATTAAATATATGGGTTGATTAAGTAAATCATCCATATCTTGTATAGTGGGCTAAAAGGCTCCATGGATCATCAAGTTGGGTTCCACCCATAGGATGCTCCATGGGAGTTACAAACCCATGGGTCATGGAAATGAAGAGTCATGACACATTAGGGTTTAACCCTAGATGTGTCAACACTATATAAGAAGTATAATCTCCACCAAATCGGTTACACTAAGTAATAAGGGGGCTTGGCCGATTTTGAAGAGTGTGTATTCTCTCATAAGTTCTTCCAAGAGCATTTGGTGTTGTGTGAAGCATTTGAGGCATCACCACTTGAGGTGCTAGGCTCACAAGGTTTCAAGGAACACAAGAAACAACAAGGTAAGTTATTCTATCTATACTTTATGTTAAAATTGTTCCCCATGTATGCTAGATAGGAATATAACCTTGGAATTCAACTTTGCATGACAAATTAGAAAAACATAGATCCAAGGTTATTAGGGTTGCATGTACACTTAGGAAGTGTTAGTATGCTCAAAACCCATCAATTGACACACCTCAATCCCTCGCCAATCGGTCGAAGATGATGGCATTTCAACGAGGGTTCAGCGACACATAGAGAAATTGTCAATTTTTTCCATCGGATACGTGTTTAGCGATAGAATGCTGATGGAAATTTTATTTGGGGTACGTGTGTTTTTGTTTTAAAAGCGGATCTCTCGCTGAAATTGGTGCAGCACAATTCTACTTTCACGAAATTGTTCGAAGGTTCCTTCCCTCCCAAATCCTATATATCACTCCGGAGTAAGTTCCCTACGCTATGTTAACCTAATATCACCATCTCCTTTCAAACAGAAGACGAAACACCAAACCATTACTGTCTTCCGATTTCGGCAACCTCCATAAAATCTAAAAGTTGTTTTCATTTACTTTCGATTCAGGTAAATCTCTTGATTTTCTTTTCTTTAGTTAGGTTAGGTTTAGTTCAGTTGCACAATATATTACATTAAGGTTTAATTTCCCTATTTTTCTGTTTCAATCATCATCCCTCTTATACCTCAATATTACATGCACGATTCATCTTGAATCGATTGCATTATGTAATTAAAACCTCTATTTATGATTCTTGAATCTCATCTTCTAACTTGACATGTTCCTCCATCTCTTGAATGTTTGTGTCTAATTCAACAGGTTCTGTAGCTCTGTAGCTTTGACTTGTGTTTCTAAGCTTCCCTCCACTTGTTTCTCAAGTGTTTCTACTGATTTTTTCTTTTCAACATCAAGCTTTAAAGGTACATCTTCATTAGATAGTGACACATAACAATAACAAAATACATCTCTAAATCACCAAATATAGAAACATCATACATTTGTAATTAAAAGTTTCCAACTTATAGGAATGTATTAGCTCCACTATCTCTTGAGGTATGATGTTCAATTGGATATCACTTTCACCAGGTAAACATAAGATCACTGATAAATGGATACATCCTGATAAGAGCCACAAAAGTGAACAATGAGAATGAGATATTGTTTATTTAACAATAACAATAGTTTTGAGTTACATTTCTTTCAAACTTTTGGGTTCATGGGCTAGATATGCTTTATGTGGTAGCTATATGTATAATGTACTATATATCATACAAACTATTGCCAATGAGTGGTGTGCATAACTGAGTGCCAAGGTTAATCAGGTAATTTTGTCTTAGTGAAATATCATAAATTTAAGATTTTGTAAGAAGCAGTTAGTTTTTCAACATCTTACTTGTTTTTGGGACTTGTATTCTCATTTTATTTGAGGAGAACTAATGCATTGCTATCAAATCACTTACCACCAAAGGTATGAAACTGTACAATCACTTTATTCATACTTCATTCACTTTATTCGTTCAAAAAATAATGTGTACAATTTGCAGATAGTTGAGGTTTCCAACTTTTCTTGTGATCATTTCCAAGAATTCCCATTCTAAGTATGAATTTTCATTTCGTTTTTGTAATGCTCTATAGGTGTATGACAAAATGCCTAACAGAGACTGCTCAATCTGTCAATGATGCAACTTTGTGGCAGAGTTCTTTTGGTAGACTACACAAACCAGGTTAGGGAGCTTGCCAAAAAACATAATTGAAAGCTTCATATAGACGAACGTCGTATCTTTAATGCATCTGTTGTAAGTTAGAGAAACCCTTTTCAAATTTCAACCTTCTTCCATCCATTCATTTTCAAGATTTTTTTTTCAGGCTCTTGGTGTCCCTGTTCATAGGCTTGTACAACCTGTTGATTCTGTTTCAGTATGGCCTCACTTCCAATTTCCAAAACCTTTTTCTTATGAATTATGATCATTATAAAATGGAAACAACAATTATGTTATAGTTTTTAAAAAATTAATTCACAATATATTGTGTTTCAGGTATGCTTTTCGAAAGGGCTTGGTGCACCAGCTGGAAGTGTTATTGTTGGGACAAAGAGCTTCATTGACAAGTTATATAATATATATTGTATATCTTGATATAATTCTTGAAAGTTGACCATTTTTTGGTTAACAGTTTCTTCTATTGAGTTAAAAGCTTCAATCTTTTTAACATATAGGCAATGATTTTGTGAAAAACTTTAGGTGGGGGAATGAGAAAGGTGGGAATCCTATGTGCTGCTGCTCTTGTTGCTTTACAAGAAAATGTTGGAAAGCCTGGAAATGATCACAAGAATGCCAAGACTTTAGCTTGGAAATGATCACTTTATTCGTTCAAAAAATGTAAGTTTCTGTTTGGACATTATTACTATATGCTCTTATATAACTGATATGTGTATTGATAGTGGTCTTAAATTGAAATTTGAACACATATGATTGTAGGTGAAACAAGAAATTGTTGAAGATGTGACACTACAAGAAACTTTCTATTTAGTTACGGAAAATTTTGTATGCAAAAACTGAAATTCCGTAGCTAAAGTTGAATAACTACGAAATTTGTTACGCAAATTTTCAATTAGACTCCGTAACTTTATTTCTTGTAGCAAATTGTTTAGCTATGGAATTATAATTCCCTAGCAATTTTGCTATGACAGTTTCTACGACATATATTCCATTGTAAATTGAGTTCCATAGCATTTTCATAGCAAAATCCATAACAATTTTTCCGTAACAAATTCCGTTGCAATGTTTCCGTAGTAACTTTTCCGTAACGAATTCTGTAGCATCTTTTCCATAGAAAATTACATAACAAATTTTCCATAACTAATTTCGTAGCAATGTTTCCGTAGCAAATTTCGTAGCAAATTCCATAGCAATTTTCCGTTACTAATTTCGTAGCAACGTTTCCGTAGCAAATTGCATAGCAACTTTTATGTAGCAATTTCCATAGCAATTTTTCCATAACTAATTCCGCAGCAATGTTTCCGTAGCAAATTCCATGACAATTATTCCATACCATTATTCAATAAATTTCGATTATTCAATTAGACTACTATATCAATTTATAAAAATGCAATTAATATAAAACCACAAGTAAAAGAGTATTTCTATAGAAACTAAAAGAAATATCCAATATATCAAAAGATACATATTTCAAAATCAAAAGTGGCTACTAATTAAATATAAAATATTATTCAATACATAATATTCTATCATTGATTAATAAATGTTTTAACCTACTCATTCAAAGCTTGTGCAAGTTGTTCAAACTTTGCTTGAACATCCATATTTTTCTGTTGAAACTCCATGTTCTCTTGTTGACCATCCTTATATTTTTCTATCGAATATCCTCATATTGTCCGCATTGCATCTCAACTAAGGTAATTTGGTTTAAGACATAATTCTTTCTTTTTATGATCCTACAATATTTCAATATAACCACTAAAAACAAGAATGAATGATTAAACAAGAAATTTGACCGTTAAATATTATAAATGATGTAAAGCACAAAAAAATTACCTCAAAAGCCTTTTTCAAAAACATATGAAATTTTTTTCGTATTTTTGTCTAGCGGAACCAAATCCCACTGCAATGGCATTAAAAATGGACATCGCCTTTTGCACAACCTCTTCATGTGCTTCTCTCATTGCAACCTATAGTGATTTGAGAGAAGATTTTATAAAGGCTTGTACATTGGCTTATACTGGAATATGAATAACCGTAGGCTCAAAATCATCTCCATAACCCTTTTTCGAATATCAGACTACAAAAGAATCACATTTTATAATAATTAAGAATTGTACATAAATACATAGTAATGGAAAAAACAAGCATATTTTTTAAAAATTGTAGTACCAATTCTTCATCTCACCAAGCTTCCCAACTTTCTTCTCCTTTAACACTAACTCCACCTCCATAGAAGAGCTAATTTGTCCAGTCTCTGAAGTCCTCTACCATCCTAAAAATGGAAAACAAAAAAAAAGTATAAAATATAAAGATGATGTGATAAATTATAAAAATAAAAAATAAACTCACTTTTGCCACTTGAAACCGGATGGATTGAACAAATAACGAGCAAAACGCCATGAAATGGCCATAAACCAACTGTTAACACTTAGAAGAATGTAGCCTACTAAACTACCTGCATTGTATACATATGCAATGTACACCACTAATAATAAAACCACTTCTATTCTGTTTCAGTAAATAAATAAATAAAATATTAAAACCATGAGAGAGAGTGATTATGCTAGAGAGAGAAAAAAGAGTACCCTTTGACCAAATGACTTCACGAATATGTACACAATGATAACTGTTAAGTGTTAACTGCATATTAAAAAAAGTTGTTAGCTGTTTAAAACAAATAATACTATAAATTAATAAAAAAGAGTGTGTAGTCTACCATGGTGCAGAAGTAGAATCTAACGGGTATAAACTAGAACAAAAGCATCCGAAAAAAAGTCAAAAAGTTCCCAAAACTTGAACCTTTTCCTTCATAATCCATCTTCATTCCCTGCTACCTTTTAGTTTTTGATGAAGAAGGTGATGGTGATGGTCATGTTGATGGTGATTGGATCAATTGTTGCATAATGATTTTAATAATTCAAGAAATTCAGAATCCATTGATAGGTCTGGTTTATTTGTTCCACCAAAGTTGTATAGTCTTTTTTCTAAGAAATTGCAGTGAATCATTCTAGGACTATGAGCACCTGTAATGAAAGTATTATGAGCACCTGTAACGAAATTATATAGATTAAGAACTGAAGCAACTAGAGTAGAGAACTGAAGAATAGATGATTAATTTGTGTATGTAAAAGAGTGATTGTTTCTTTAACAGTGAAAACCCCCTGTTGCAAATCTTGCAATATTTGTAGAAAGATCATATAAGGGACTAGGAACCTCATAGGAGAGTTGAGAGAAAGATCGATTGCTATCTTTTCTACCTGTGTGAGCTGGATAAAATGGTCCACCAGCCTGTAAAATAAATTAGATATTAATAACCTAAAGTTTCATGTGTTCTTGAATGATTTGAAGACTAAAAAGGTGAAAAGGGAAATCACTGGGAGATGAATGTGGTTACTTACTAGAATCACACTTTCATAAATAGCCACCACAAGAAGATCAACACAAGAAACTACACCAGGGCATTCATTTTCGAATTCGGCTTTGATGATGTCAAGATGTTCAAAACATTTCAAACAATGTACGGAAAAATCATATTTAGACAAAACTAAAAACAATAAAACTGCTACAACATCATAGCCATAACTCTGAATCACTATGTTAAGAAGATAGAATTCTTGTTCTTCTGTGGTGAGTGAGGAAACGAGTTTGATGATTATACCAAGCACAACGTGTCTTAATCTCCCAGTCATGAAAAGCGTAAGGTTTGATTTCTGTAGGTAAACAAAAGTTCCAAATCAAAATGAAAATTCAATCAAGAAATCAAAGTGGAAGTTACTTGCTGATGGATACATTTTTCAAATATTCACAATTCTAATTTTAATTACCGTTAACCAAAACGAATTATCAAATTAAACCTAAAACTCAATCGATGTAATAGAAAAAATAAGATACGGTTTTTTTTTTACAAAAACTTGGAGAAAAAAAGCTGAAATCGGATTGTCCAACAGCTGCAGCAACGACTTCAACGGTGGTGGCGGCGGCAAGAGAGAGAGGCGATGTTGATCTAATGGGTTTTATACAAACAATCCTATGTGTACATGAAACCCTAGCATTGGATCTATGTTTTCACTATTAAATATACAACATTATGAACACATAATAAAACTTTAAAGATGATTCCTATTTTCGAAATTAACCAAGAAAGTTAGATTACATACCTCTTGTTGTTATATTGTAATAACAACTTAAATCTTCAAACCCTAAGTCTTGAAAGAAAGCACCACAAGTGTAGTGCCTCTAATGGCTCACAAACACCAAGAGCAAAAGGAGAGGTAATAGAGAGAGAGAGAAGAGGTATAGAATTTCGTCCCTAGGAACCCTTGGGAAGGCATGGACGAATTTATGAGCCTTAGGGGTCTTTATATAGGTGTATAGATTAGTGTTTCCGTCCTTATCCTTATCTAGTTGCTTGCCCACCAAGTAACAATAAGATAGGCCTTAAAATCCCATATATTTGGACGATTTCAAGGATATATATATATATATATATATATATATATATATATATATATATATATATATATATATATATATATATATATATATATATATATATATCCTTTAGATTTCGTCCACCCATATTCTAGGATAATCCTTACCCTATTTTGTAACTATCACATAATTACAATTTAGCCCCTCTAGTTTAATTAATTATATTTTATCACAAAATTAATTCTTAATTAATTATTAACCAATATTAATTAAACAAATATGATTTCTACTTTAATATATTATTCTTATAACATATTAATAAATCATAATAACCCCTTTCTCTATTATTTCTCCAGTCAAGTTGCTTTGGTGAAGGAAATCCAAAATGACCATGCACAATCGGGTCAGGTATTTACCAAATATGGTTACTGGCTTAGACATTAATCCAACAGTCTCCCACTTGGATAAGTCTAGTAACTACAAATGTAAGTACACCTCGATTTGCAATCGTAGCTCTAAAAGACGCTGTCAAACTCTGATCTTATCAGTAACCTGTCCTTCAGATAAGGGATCATATATTCCTCCATTCTGGATATCGTATAGACACGAGTCATGGATTGAAATTAGCCCTAGCCCGGCCGAGCATTTACGTTTGTCATCACTAAATCATTGAGGGGGCCCACAGATATCGCTTTTATCCCACTTTGGGTAAAAGGAACGGATAAACTTTGACTTAATGTTTGCTTGCACTCACTCACCAAATCACACACAACAATACGTTTTATAACACCGAGTTACCGGTATGTTTACATATTATCAATGTGCAACCGATTCGCAAGATACAACTCACACATCTCGGTTTCAAGAATACAAGATATTATCGTCTCACCAATCGCTCGTGATAAAATCCATGAAGCGATCCAAGTGAATGTGGGTTTAATCCAATGCTCAAAATCATATTCATAAGCACTCATGAACGTTGTAGCAAACCTTTGCTATATCCAATACGCTCTAGACAATCTACAAACCAATACATGACAGTCTTTATTCATACTTACTTCCAACGTATGACTGACTGTGGTCTATTTGAATAATTCGATTATTCTTAATAAACTCAATTATTCTGGAAGTCAAAACATGCAAAGTGAAAACACAAGAATAATACTAATCCCATATGGCCTCAAACCTTTGAGCATAAGTAAAACACCTTTTATTTATCACCATATTGATTACTCATTATTTGTCGTTTCGGGTAATTAACTTCTTACTTGAATTATTACACTTGTCCCATGCTCCTAGCATGCACATAATGTGTACCTATGGTTCTTTCTTTGTGAAATAGATCAAATTGAACACATTTCCAATCATTCTCATTTCACAACTCCAAATCCTTTTCCATAAGTGAAAGAATATCAAATTCTTGCTACTTATAGAGTATGCTAGATTCTAACATTTTATGCAATGATCCTTTCGTAATGTCACTGCACCAAAGTCACAAAGACTATTGCCAATGATATTACAAAGTCCTCTATCGGAGATTGTTACAAGACAATTCGTTAGATATGATGTCTCTCACTCAAATTACATTCCTTTGAACATCCTTTTGCATAAATGTTTCTAATCTAGACATAGATTTTCAATATTCAATTCCCAATATGGACACGTCTAACATCCCGGAGTAGCAAGAGTAGAGTTGAAGGACTAAAAGTGTAAATTTTGAAGGGCAACTCGACAAGTCCATGGATGGACTCGGCAAGTAGGGTCGCGACTTTGGTCGCGAGTCAAGTGGCCTACTCGACGAGTAGGTGCTGAGTGGAGAAAACCCTGAATCCGGGGAATGAGCCCTATTTAAAGAACATTATATCCTCTCCCCAGCCTCTTTGATACCCCTTGAAGTCCAGAAACCCTAGAAAGCATGATTGTGGAAGATTGGAGTGCATTTGGAGCTTGGGGAGGTGTTTGTTGAAGAAATCTTGAAGGAGAAGAGGCTCGGATCAAAGGGCTTTGCTTGGATTCGAGTTTCATTGCAGTTGGGGAATTCTTTTGAGGTAATATCTCGTTCTTGGGCTATTACTCATATGGATTCATCATTTTGGGGTTTATGGGAGCTTATCCTTGTATGTTTTAGAGTTTGGAGGTCAGATCTGAGGTTGCTACCTCAGATCTGGAATGGGGAAAGCCTAGAGAGCATTAAAGTCTCTGTGTTTGAGTGCTTAGTGAAGCCATCATGTCCCAAACCCTAGCTCTAAAGTGAATAAGGCCTAGATCTCTTTGGATTCACGTAAAGTTTGCCACTTTACGTGATGGATGGATTGTAGGAGGCTAGATCTATGTTTTGGATCAATTGCATGGCCTGGAATGCTTCTGTATATTCAGACCGGTGGTACTCGGCGAGTCACATGGGTGGACTCGACGAGTTGCTTAAAGATGAGCTGGAACTCGACGAGTTGGATGACCAACTCGGCGAGTAGGTTGAAGATAGCCTTAGACTCGGTGAGTCTGTTCTTGGACTCAGCTGTAACAACCCGAAATTCATATCCCTAAATGTAACCCTTCTCGCGACCCGTTCCGATCATCCAATCACCGTTTTCGATTTCGTTTCCGTTTCCGACCTTTTAGTAAGTCGTTAATGTGAATTTTATTTTATGACTTAATAAGTGTATTAGTACCCTTAGAACTCATTCTAACATATCATATTAATGATCGGAACATTTCTAGAATCACCCATATCGGGTTACGGCAAATTGGCCGGGTGCGACCAAAAGCCCCGTCTAACGCCGGTATCGGGTAGAATTCTACCGTGTCCTGAACTTGGACACTATTTAAAGTGATCCAAGTCTCCATTTTGAAGTTTTTGCTCCATTTTACAACATTCACTCCAACCTCTACCCTCAAACTAGATGTAAGGGTCAAAATCTCAAGTTTAAGGCTTCAAATCACCAAGGTACCTTCCCTAATTTGTTATGCAACATCTTTAGCCCTCAAATTCGAGTTCAAACCATGGGATAGGACCATTATCATGAGTTTACGGCCCTAGAACAATCCTAGGTCGTAAACTCATATAAAAGGGGTTTTTGGAGCAACAAAACCCTTCCAAACCTCAATTGGACTTTGGTTATGGCTAGAGGACTTTATGAAATGGAATTAGAATGCCTCAAACCAAGATTTAAAGCCTTCTATAAGAGTGTATGGCCCTGGAAGGTGCATAGGCCGTAAACACATATTTAAAAGGGTTTTAAGCCATTTAACCCTTCCAAGACACAAACAAGACTTAGATATGATTTTTAAAATATTGGAAATGGACCTAGAACATCTTAAACATACATTTTGAGGGACTTATGTGAATTTACGGCCAAGGCATGAGCTTGGGCCGTAATCCCCTCAATATTGGGTGTAAACTCAATTTCAAAGTGTTAGAAAGCCATCCAACACCACCAAAAGCCTTGGAATAAATCATAGGGTCTACCAAAAATAGTTTAAGGACCTTAAACACATCAAAACCCTACATTTGAGAGTATACAGCCATAGAACATACCCCATGGCCGTAAACTCCTAAAAGGATGTCAAATGGTGCCCAAAATTGAATTCTAGGTGATGAGATTAAAGAATCTTTTAATCTATGAAGATCGATTAGATCTTGAACAAGTTATGAAAACAATGACGATATAAACACAGTAAAATTATAGAACAAGAATGAATCAAACGTGTCGAATGATTAAAACAAAATCCTCAGAAGAGCTTGATTAAGAACATCAACTGTAGAGGATTGGAAGGTTACAAGTATGATCAAAGAAACCTTTAGTCGTCTGGAAAATATCGTATTCTCAGATCTCTAAAACCTCAACCTAATATGCATGCAAGCATAAGCTTATATACAAAGCATAAAAGACACACGGTTGGACAGGCCCAAACCGTAGTACAAAACATTATAAACAAACGAGCCCAAAAGACGCAATCTTCTAAGCCCAACAATCTCCCCCTTTGCATCAATTTGGGGCGAGATCTTCACTCTCTCTTCAAAGCAGATGGCTTCTTTACCGTTTCAAAAATTTTTGGTATCAAAGCCAGAATATGATGCCTGAAGGTAATATACCAACGAAGCATATCTGTAACGTTCTTCTTATCTGCTGTTGTGTTCTGTTTGCATCGGTGAATGATATTGATGATGTGCTCCAGACACTCTGTAGAGAACAGATGCTTGTCTACCAACGCAAACAGAAACTTGTGCTTATCACCCCTTGTGAACATAACTGTCAGA